CAGGCGGGGCACGCAATGGCGCGAGTGCCCGCCGCAGGCACCCGGCACAAGGTGTGCAATGAAACACTGGGCTCGTGCCAAGGCGGCCCGCACATGGGGGGCCCGGCGCCGCCAAGGGCCCCTGCTGCGCGGCCGCCTCCCCCCCGGCCCCGCCCGGGGCGGCCCGCGCACCTCCGCAACTCCGCCCCCTCCCCGGTCGCGAGGCCCTCCTCCACGGAGCCCCCGCGGGCAGCCTCGCTGGGCGGCCCGGAAAAGAAAAAGCCCCCTCTGGCGCCTGCGCGCCAGAGACCCGGACCCCCCTCCCGGCATACATGGCGGGCAGATTGCGCATGGCCGCAATGTTTCTCGGCCCTCCGGCGCCCCCCCCCCCCCCCCCCCCCCCCCCGGGCCCGGCCCCGGCGGGCTATGCCGAGACCGTGTGCACACACCGCCGACAGCCCAGCCGGGCCGGCATGCGCGCCTTCCATCGAACACCGGCCCGCCGAGGAAGCGCGCCCCCTAGGCGGCGCGACGGGCGCGCTCCAGCCTCCTCAAGAGGCAACTCCCCCCCAGCCGCGGGAGACGAGGGCCGGGGGCGGACCGGCGGGCAGCCGACCGGCCATGGGGGCGCGCCAGTGCGCGGCACAGGCACCTCCGGGCCCCTTCCCGGCACCGGCCCGAGGCATGAGTCATCTCGAGGCGTCCGGGCCGGCAGGGCTGGCCGGGGCAGAACCAAAACGACGCCGCCCGATGCCCTGCAACATGAATCACACCGGTACACGGCCATCCCGGGAAGGCGGATGGCCGCCGACCTGGTCGGCTGGAAGGCCATCATCAGGCAGACACACATTAATGCAGGCATATATGTATATGCGCACACACACACACTCGCACATTAGGCCCGCCCACCTCGCGCCCCGGACAGGTGAGAGGGCCCGTCAGCCGGGGAGGGCGGTCCGGCCGTTTCCCGGCCCCGCCCCGTGCCCCCTCCCCCCCCGAGTCGTGCGGGCCCTCGGGCGGCGGGGGGAGGGGGGGGGGGGCGCTGCCCTTCGCAACAGCTTCGCCAGCTGGCTCGAGAGCCGGCCGCGGCCTGTCTCCCCCCGCCCCCGCCCCGCCGCCCCGCGCACGAGGCGCGCGAAGCCCGGCCGCGGAGACTAGACGCTGACACAGCCGGGCACAGAGGGGCAATGAGGCAGCCGAAAAATGACCCCTCGCCATTCACACACACACAGCGCAGCCCATATTACGACCCCTGCGCCTTGCGGTGTGGGAATCATTGGACTTGGCATTTTTTTCCCTCCCCAACTCATCCTCCCCCGGGCCCGGACCCCGGCGCGGCGGCCTCCCTCCCCGGGCATGCTGGCGCGCGGCCGTGCAGGGACGCACACGCCACCACCTGCCCCCGGCGCCCCGGGACGAAGGGGCCACCGCGGCCGGCCCCGGCGGAGAGAACATGCCAGCGCGGCCTGCTCGACGCGCGGGAATTCGTCCCCCACCCAGAGGGGAGGCCCCTATTGCACACGAACACACACACACGAACACACACATGCACACACATGCACACACATGTGCATACACGCATGCACGTCCACACGTCCACACGCACGCAAGCACGCACCTAAAAAGACCCCACCCCCCGAGGTGCCATTCATCTTCCCAGCCGGCCGCCCCGGACGCAGGACTTTCGGCAGGCAACAAGCAGGCCCAAGGGCCGGGTTCCGAACACCGTCCGGCCAAGCGGCGTACCCCCCTCTCGCCTGCCCACACCTCCCCCACAGCGGTGCAAGCGCACTCGCCTCCCCCCTGCCTGGCGCCCACGAATAAAAAAAAACAACCCCCCGCACAGGTACACCCCCCCCCCTCCCCCCTCGCTGGCCCATTCCCCGAGTCGCACTCCTCGCCACACACAGAGCACTCTAGCGAATCCGACCTGACATTCAACGGAATAGGGCGTCCACCGGACTTTCTGGCGAAACCCGCATGTTGAGCCCCCCGCCACGAGACCGCCGGCCCGGCCCGGCCCGCCCGGACGATGATCATATTGTTTCCCCCCCAGCCCCCCGGACCTCCGCATACGTCCCTTTTGGGCAGGGATGGCCCAGGCGTGTGTTGCGCGAATTCGAGGGGCAGAAGCGCAAGCCGGGCCCACCGGCAAGCCGGGCCCCGGGATCCCCCTCGGGAAGGGGCTCGACCGATTCGGGCGCCAATATATGCCCTTTGATATTCCCCACATCATTAGCAGACACGGGGAAGAAGGACCGCGCGAGAGGCCCAACGAGGGGCGAGGGCACATCCCCCTCCCCCCCCCCCCCCCCCGCCGGCAGGCACCCATCACACGGCGGGAGCATGAATGTTCGCGGCGCCGTCCTCGCAGCCGTCTTGCCCGTCTGCCTGCCCAAGAACATTCGACGGATGCCCCGCCCCATGCTCCCCACGCTTCGCCCCCCTCCCCCGCCCCACCCGTCGACCGAGGGCCGGAGGGACGCTCGCCCTGGTTGGCCCAGCTAACAGGCCATCCCCGATTAAGGCACACTAAACCGAATGGACCGCCCCGCTCGCAGGTGGCGCCTTCCCGCGGAGCACCTCCCCACCCAGCAACCCTAGACCCAGGAGCCGGCAAGGACCCCGCCGGCCGTGGGCATGTCAGTCACCCCCGCCGGCCGTGGTGTGTTTGCATCTGCGTATTTTCTCGTCGCCAGCTGGCGAGCGTGTGTATGTCCACCTTTCCCCGCCCGCCGGCCCCCCTAAATGAGGACAGCCCGCAGTTCTCTCGGCGTGCCCCCACTGAGAGTGCCTCGCCGCCCTGTCCCCCCATCCCTCGCGTACGTGTGTGTGTGTGTGTGTTGAACGCATCGAGCAAGGGTTGACACAGATCTGTGCGGCCATACATTTTATCCGCCACAAAATTACTCACTCGCGCACGAGGGAATGAAAGTCCACAGGGGAGGAGGAGAAGCATGGGCAGAGACGTTGGGCTGACCACGGCCAGGCATGGGGCACGGCGGCATGCAGCCGGACCAAGGGAGGGGGGGGGACGCCGACCTGCCGTCGGAGGACGCACAGGAAAGATGGAGCGGAGACGGGCACCCCCACCGCCAGCTGGCGGCAGGGGAAGCCCCGGCCGCCCCCCCTCTGAGGAGGTGGAGGCCAGGAAAAGGGACGCACACGGCTTGGCCTTCGACTTGCCGCTCCCCTCGGGAATGTCGCCCCGCCCTCCTCCGGCTCGGGCTCCGGCTCCGGGGTCCCTCCTCACTCCGGGATGACCGAGTTGACGGCCTGCTTCAGCAGCTCAACAAAGCGCAGGACGTCCGCGTACGAGGAGTACAACGCCTGGGGGGAGACGCTGTGTTTTTTTTTTTCCCCCCCACACCACCCGAGCCCATGCCCCGGGCGCAGCGCGCGCGCGCGCGATCATCGTAGGCACAGGTGTCAGTGCCCCGTTCACATCGTCGGGCTCCAAGGGCCAGGGACCACCCTGCTCTCCTCCCGGCTCCATCGCACGGAAAGTCCGATGGCCGCGCCACACGGGCCGAGGAGGGCAAAGGCAGGAGGAAGGCGAAAGAAGGGACAAAAGAGAGAACCACCAAGAGCACCCCAACAAATGTTCACCCCCGCCGTGTGGCGCACGCACCGGATGACATCCGGCTCGCGGAAGTCGCACAGGACGCCGCGGGCCTCGAGGGCGCGGTGAACCGAGCGCGAGGTCTCGCGGCAGCCGCCGCGGCCGATCAGCAGGCTGACGTGGCCGCCCCGCTCGGCCGGCTCCAGCGACGTCAGAAGGCCGATCTGCTTGCCAAGCAGGCCCGCCTCCTCCAGCAGGTAATGCAGGAAGGCCGCCAGGCGAATGGACTTGGCCCGGCGGGTGGCCGGGGTGGTCTTATCGAAGACCACCAGCGACGCGCGCAGGGTGGCCAGCGCGAAGGGCGAGGCATTCGAGATGACGAACCCCGGGGCCCCGTGGACATAGTCGGTGACTGAACGGGGTCACCCAGCGAGGCGGTGTGCGTGCGTACGTGCGTGCGTGCGTGCGTGCGTGCGTGCGTGCGTGCGTGCGTGCGCGCGAGAGAGCCGATGGGGGGACCCGAGCAGCGGCCAGGTCAGCAGCCAGGCGCATGGGCGAGAGGAGAAACCCCGGCGCAGCACCGGAGGGAGGCGGGAGATCCCCCTCCCGACGGCGATGGCAGGCACAACCCCGGCCCCGAACACGCACCATTGTCCATGCGGAAGCGCGTCTCCATCGAGTGGCCGATCCAGCCACTGAGGCGCACACTGTCCGGGCCCATGTCGGCCCACTTGTCGTGAACGAACACACCGCCAATGGACCCGGGCCCGGCGTTCATGTACTTGTAGGTGCACCAGGCAGCGAAGTCCACGCCCCAAGCGTGCAGGGCCAGCGGGATGGCGCCGGCCGCGTGAGCCAGGTCAAAGCCCACACGGATGTCCGCGTGCGTGCGGTTGGCATGCGCCGTGATCTCGGCCATGGGCATCTGCTGGCCGGTCAGGTGGTGGGCACCGGGCAGGAGGATCATGGCCAGGCTGTCGGCGTTCTGCATGTGTGTGTGTGTGTGTGTGTGTGTGTGTGTGTGTGTGTGTGTGTGCGCGCGCGCGCGTATGTGTATGTATGCGCGCATATGCACGTATGTACGCGCCAGAGAGCGAGCCAGGCAGAGGGTCAGAGGCAGTATGGGCGACACCGGCGAGGGAGGGGCAGGTGGTCGGTGCCACACGGGCCCAGGCAGCGGCGGCCAATTCGCACCTCATCGATGGCGGCCTTGATGTCCTCAAGGCGCAGGATGCGCTCGCCATCGCGCGGCTTGACGACAATCATCGCGTCATCGGGATTGCGCCCGTGCAGGCGGATCTGCGTCTGGATGGCATACTACGGTGTGGAGGTCGGTGCGTGGCGGCGGCGGCGGCGGCGGCGGCGGCGGCCAAAAATGGCTGGTCAGAGGGCACATCAAACCGCGGCATCACACCGACGAGAGCACACCCAGGCAGGGGAACCAAAGGCCCAAGTCGCGCCCCAGCGAACATGTAGGCCCGGGGAACTGCCCGCCAGCGGCCTGCTCCCCGGCTTGTAGGAGACCCCCCCCCCGGCGGGCTTCCTGTGCTTGACGTACCCAGTCACTCGGGAAGGCGCCCAGCTCGCAGAGGATCTTGAAGCGCGTGGCCGTCGGACGATAGAAGGCCGCCATCATCAGGTGCAGGTTCACGGTCAGGGCATTCATGGAGATGACCTCGTGCCGGTACCGGGCGCCGACCATGATGGCCAGCGACTCGCGGATGTCCTCATCGCCATCCACCCAGGCACGGTGGTGGGGCGGCTTGCCGGGGTGGTCGAAGTGCGCCAGGACCGCATGCGACCCCCAGGCGGACAGCTCATTGTTCATCAGCTCCCCGGCCATGGTCGGCATGAGGCCCAGCGAGTGGCCGCACAGGTACAGGCAGGGGGCGGACTCCTGGCCATTCTTGGCGGCGTACTCCCGCGCGGCCGGGATGTTCCCCAGCGCCGGGATCGTGAAGTGCTGCGACAGGCCGGCCAGAGGGTCAGCGGCGTCCAGCGCGGCGGCCATGGCAGCCGGCGTGGCGTCCGGCAGCCCGGCAGCCAGGGTGTCGAGCTCGGCACGCAGCTCGGCCGCCGTCGGGACCACGCACGCGGCGAGGGCGGTCTCGTTGGTATTTTCGAAGGCCATGGTGATTGTGAGGTGTCTGGGCGGCAGGGGGGGGGGGGGACAGACAGGGGGTTGCCAGGAGCGGCGATGCCGGGCGGGGGCTGGTCCGGGTGCTGATAAAGCGGCGAAGTGGTGAAGAGAGACTCGACCGTTCCACCTACGGAGGGGGGGGGCGGCGGCGGCGGGAGGCGCCTGTCCAGCTGGTCATGCTGCGTGTCATGACAGAGGGACTCGGTCATGCACACGGACGCCCCCGAACGGGCCGGGCCGGAGCCGGGATCGAGGGGTGGGACATGTGCCGGGTCTAGTCGGGGCCTTCGTTGGCACTTGGTTATCCGCCCTGTTTCACCCGGGGCCCGTGTCGTTGGTGCCGGCTCGGCGCCCCCCCCCCCCCCCCCCCCCCCCCGCCCCCCTCGCCTGCTCTTGCCCGAGCACGCGATCTGCCACCTCCTCGGCCAGGCACATGGGCGGGATCTTCCTTGTCCATGCGTCCCGGAGGGGATGCCGCACAGGCAAGATTCAAGGGACATGCACCGGAAGGTGTGTCCATGTCCTCGCCCGAGCCAGCGGTATGGGCGGGACTGTTTGCATTTGCCGGGCACAGCTCGACTGAAGAAAGGGAGAGGTCTATTCTCGCCGCGGAGAGGACTGCGCACGGCGGAAAGGCGCAAAATAGGGAGGAAACAAGGACAGATGATATTTTTGCGAGTGTGTGTGTGTGTGTGTGTGTGATAGAGAGAATGTGTGCCTGGACGCCAGGGGCAGCGTCAGTTGTCAAGTTTGACCGAGGCCAGTGAGACGACATTCTCGCGTGGTTCGACTGCACAGGGCGCGTGCCGAGCAGATGTCCCCAGGTTGCGGCGCCACCGAGAGGCACGGGCCGGGAAAGAGAGAGAGAGAGAGAGAGGGAAAGGGAGAAAGGCACAGAGGGGGGTGGCAGGCACGAGCGGAAGAGGGTCAGTAAAGGGCGGCGCAGGGGCATGACCCCCCTCCCCCTCCCCCGGGCGAGGCATGGCCAAAGCACAGAGAGGCAGGGGGACACGGCAAAGGGGGAAAGAAAAAAAAAGGCCCCCCCACCAGGTGGAGGGTTTGTCCCGGACGCAGCGAACGCACTCTCCAGGGACCGTTGATACAGCAGCCGGTCATCCAGGCCACGCACGCCACGCAGGAAGGCCTGGGCCTTCTCATCGGCCTCAAAGCGCCCGGAGTACGACACCCGTTGGTACATACGAATGGCTTCCAGCGTGTGGTGGAGCTTGAGGCACTTGTCGAAATTGACCAGGCGCTTCATGGGCGGCGGCATGGTGCTCGTTTGCGGGGTGGACCCGCTGCTGCCGGCATTCGAGGAGGAGGCCGAGGACACCGCCGAGGGGGGAAGCGGCGGCGCCGGGGGCGGAGACGGCGGGCCGGGGTTGGCCATGCCGCCGCCCGGCGTCCCGGGCGAGATGACCTCCCACCCGGGGAAGCCAAGCAGCGTGCCGGAGGAGCTGGCCATGTGGGACGACCCGCCGCCCGGGCCGGCGGGCATGGGCCCGGCAACCGCGCCCGGGCCCGGCGGATCGGCCGGAGTCATGGCCGGGGCCGTGTTCAGCACCGCCGGAGCCGGCTGCGGCCCCGGCAGCGGGACATAAATGTAGTCCGGATTGGCATCCTCGATGAAGGTCAAGTCCGTGAGGAAGACCCCGAGGAAGGGCACCACCGGCAGGTCCACCGACCGCAAGGCCTGTCGATAGGCGCGGAAGTTGTTGCGCGTCGAGGCCAGGTTCCCCAGCAGGCGATAGGCCTCCAGGTGGTTGAGGCCCCCGCCGCCGGCCCCGCCGGCCCCGCGGTCCGGGTCCACATCCTCCAGGCCATACGGGTCGCTGGTGATCCCGGCCCAGGTCTGCTTCAGGCGGTAAACCGACGAGGTTTCCAGCGCCCCGATGATGGTGACCGCGGCGTTGAAGTTATTCAGCGCCAGGGAGTAGTGGGCCAGCTCGATGAAGAATCTGAGCGCCTGGCGCCGGCACCGCACGGTCGACCCCTCCAGCACCTTGGTCGCCACCCACAGGGCCAGGCGGTTGGTGTGCTCGATGACGGCCACGATGTTGGGCGCGCGCACCATGTTGCATTGGGCCGAGGCGGCGGCGGCGGCGGCGGCGGCGGCGGCCGAGTCGCCGGATTCCTTGGCACTGCCGCGGGTGGCCTTGCCACCGGTGCCAGCCCGGCCGGCGCGGCTGCCCTTGCCCGTTTGGCTGGCATCGGAGGACTTGCGCCGCGAGCGCCAAACCGAGTCACGCTCGGCCGCCAGCAGCGCGGCATCCCCCCCGGCAGGGGGCCCGGTGCCTGTGGGAAGCCCGGCCCCGGAGGCGCCCGCATGGGGGCCGGCTCGCCCGGCGCCGGGGCCCTTCTTCCGCCGGGGCGGCTGCCAGCCCTGGCCGAGACACTCGTCGCGTGTGATGCGCTGATACAGGGCAAACTCGATGAGGGCCAGCTGCTCGGCCAAGTGCCGGGGATCAAACTGCAGCCAGTCACGCGACAGCTCCGAGTGCAGGAGATCCGCCATGGATGAGGGAGTCAGTGGCGGGGAGGCGGCCGGGAGAGTTGCCGCGGCCGAGGGCGAGGCCCCGGGTCCGGCGCTTTGCGGAACCGTGCCACGGCGCCGGGCCAAGTCCTCCGGCGGCGGCGGCGCCGGCGGCGGCACCGGCAGCGGAGCCGAGGGCTTGCGCATGCCGCGGCGTGCATCCAAGAGCCCCGGGGCCGCAGAGGCAACCCCGGAAGCCGCATGGGCCACCAGGCCCGGCGCTTGGGTGGCGCTCGGTGCCCCGCCAGCGATCGACGAGGCATAGTGCTTCTGGAGCTGAGCGATGGAGAGAGGGAGAGAGGGAGAGAGGGAGAGAGGGAGAGGGAGAGAG